TTAAAGCCATTTCTGAATTAATACATTTTGACAGCGTGGAAAGTCGGAGGTATATATGGCATTATTTGGAAAGTAATTATCCAGATTTACACTGTCACTCAGACACAGGTGGACAGCATGAGGTTCATGAGGATAATTTACTAAACATTTGTCGAATCTGATGTGAAACATTCTTAAAGCCCACGGTAGGAGAAAAAGTATTAGAAATTTACAACAAGAATACCAAAATGCTGTTGCTTAGGGCGCAATGAGTGCAGAACTATAATCTGTACTTTCGCTGCCTGAATCTGTAGTGAATTTTTACTTTAAGAAGAAAGGTTTTTTTAAAGTGTTATTGAAAGTGTCATATTCACTGGGACCCATGCTCTGGATGTTTAAGATAAGCAATAAGTCTGCTGTCCTCCATTAAAACCGTTTTATATGTTTTATATATTTGTTATACTGTATATAACGATACGTTATACTGTCATTATACTGTCGTAGTTTTTTTACTGTCCTTTCAAGGGGTGAGTATTGGCATGGGTGTTGCGATACAATATATGTCACGATACTTGGGTCACAATACGATATTATCACGATATTGCAATTTTACTATATATTTCAATACTTTTCCCAGCTATCAAAATCAAATGAATAGATACAAAAAAAGCAGATGCTGTATATGTTCATTAGAAGATATAAATCATTTAGTTATTTTGGTATTAATGTTTTTTGGGGTTTGAGTCACTCCACGTCTTCCATTGTGAGTGCTTGAACTGCAGAAATGGCGCCGCGCTGCACAGCAAAAGAGCTCCACAGCGCTAACTGCCAGAGTGGCGGTGCAGCGGTGCCTCGTTGTTTTAGGTTAACATGTTTTATTTTTCAAAATAAATACTAAGAAGGAAAGATCCATATTATATCTGACAGCCGAATATCGCGATATATCGCCAAAACGATTATTTCCCACACCACTAGTCCTTCCAGAGATGATTGATTCAACAGTCGTCCTCTGTCTGACGTAGGAATATTGTTTGATAGTCTTTTCCTGCTTTTAACCTACCCCAAAACTTTCTCTCTCATCTGTCTCCTGTGTTCCTTGTTTTTTTTCTTCCTGATGCTATTTGTTCACTAATCCCCTCTAACAAACCTCCAAGGATTTCGCAAATAACCACTTTTAAAAAAAGACGTTCTTTTTTAGCAACAGTGGCAGGAATTTGTCAGCCCACAGTGTCATTTCTCTGCAAGTCCTCATCTATTCTGGTGCCATTGTTGAATTTCTCCTGCACATGACCTGTGACAATACAAGACGTGCACACAGATGTGCACACTCACAAAGTAGATTGATACCATCTCTCACAGTCAGCCAAACCTTTTTTGAGCAACCAATCAAATAGAAGATACAATCACTGAGTTTCTTTTGCTCTCCGCTCAGATCCTCCCCTCTATTATGAAAAAAAGAAAAGAAATATGATTTGGGAGAGTGGCAGGGAGGGAGTGGAGGGGGGGTATGGAGTAGTAGGCGGGCGCCTGTCAATGCAGACGGAGGTTTCTCCAGAGAAGTCGAGACACAGGAAAAAGGAAAGTCTTCCTGTTCAGTCTGTCTCTGCCGTTCCCCCTCAGAGAGAGAGAGAGAAATCTAATTATCAAGCTCCTAAATATCTCATTATTGGCTGAGGCTCATTTGCATGTGTGAGAGTAGCGCAGCAGGAGCCAACTTGGGGGCGGCCATTTTGATCCAGATGTGTGCCACTGCACTGTGGCTTACTGTCACCTTTAGAAATGACCACATTAAATGTCTGCTTCATTTACCCCGATGTTCACTAGTCACTTTTTTCTTTGAGGATGGGAAATAATGCAGATGATGGATCAGATTCTTATGGTCTCTCTAGAGAAACACGGCGAACAAAAGAGGAAAATCAAGCTGTTTTCTTTTCAGATAACTATTTTGACAAAAACATGTTTTTATAAAGTCATGAAGGCAAAAACTTTTCACCAGTATTGTACTAAAGTAAAATTTAAAACCTTTACTTTTTTACTTAAAAGTATAGTGGAGGACGTTATTTTTCCGGGTGGATCATCTAAATAAGTGGTCCTCCTAACTGTCAATCATTCTGTTTACGTTAGGCCATCCTTATTGCAAATCTTCCTTTGGAAAGTAAGCTTGTATGATTGATGCAAACAGCAACTTTTAAACAGAGCGTGCACAAGGAGTAATGGGCTTGTTCACGCACTTGCACGAGTTTAATAGGCATTCCCTCTCAGGAGCGAGTACAGGGTTCTGCATGTGCATTTCTTTTTTAAAATAGAGAGGGTGGGTCTTTTTTTTTCAAAAATTCACAATAATCCTCCACTATACCTTTAAGTAAAAGAGCTCGGTGTGTACTTTATTTTGCACAGATATCAGTCATTTTACTTCACTAAAACATGTGACAACCTTTAACACCTCTTAGGGCGTTAAACCTCAGCAAATAATAGAAAACCAAGTTCATCACAACAAAACTGTTGTGTTCAATGAATTATTAAGGAGTTTGTTTACTGTTAGGGGAATGCTTGATCAGGCAAAGTTGGGGTTGTTAAAAATGTAATGAATCAGATTATATTTACCTTAAAATAATTCACAGGCTGCTAAAGCTAACCAGTATAATGGGGAAAACTGCTAATATAGGAGTTTTTGTTCTTGTTATTCTAATAAGAAAACAATGGAATGAAAAAGAATTCCCTGAGTTTCCTGTTTATTCAATATCAATTAACTTTTGATTTACTAATCTATTATATAACAGTGAATCAGAACTTCTAAACAGTAAGCTGGACACATTTATAGTATAAATAGGGTTTTTCGTTAAATTTAATATGATAGTGTTATCACAGCATTCAGTATTGACAGGTACTGAGTCGATATGATATGAGCCTGAATCATATATTATTCATTTATGTACTGTGGGATATTAAAACAAGGCTGGATCAGGTGTTTTTACTAAAAATTAGAACAACAGTCAACATGAATAGGTATGAAAACAACTGAACCACTTCAACCAATCAGCTATATAAACTCTAAACCATCAAAATGTTTAAATCACAGATTTGAGATGCAGGCCGGGATTTTCTGATACTGTTATTTTTTTTTTTTTGCCCGATAATGCATGTCAGATTGGGACATCTGAAATATATCTTTTAATATGATCAATGTCTTAATTTTTAACTGTGGAAAAAATATAAAAGCTGAATTTAAAATCTGTGAGTAAAAGAGATGCAGAATTTGCCAAAAATGATCACATCTGATTTTAAATCAGGCCCTAAAAATAAAAACAATCCTGAATCTTTGATAGAAGCGACCTTTGACCTTTTTAATTGACCTTTAATCTGAACACTGATACAGTATAAAGGCCCAGAGTACTGTTAGGACTTTAAATAATTGTTTTTTTTTTAGAACTAAAAAAATCAAACCTGCAACTAATGTCTATTTCTTTCGCCGATTAATTAGTAGATAATTTTTTTTGATTAACTAATTAATAATCGCAAAATGAATTTATGATTATTGCTCTGAGCAGGTTGCTCTTTTAACTAATGGCATGTTTTATGTCTCTTTGTTTGAGGTCTCTTTGCTTCTAAATTAATTGACAAATATTTCAATACTTGATTAACCGCCATTGATGTATTATTTCAGCCCTATTAGTAATACAATAAAATCCCATTTAAAAGCAACTGAATAAGAATAAAAAAACCCAATAAAAGTGATTGCATTTGCTTTGTGAGGGATCAACCACCAACACTCACTCACCCTCATGTAAATCCAACTGTGTCTGTGTGTTTATGTTGGTGCGATATGAGCTGACAGCTCAGACAACAGAGCTGTCGCTTGCATGCCCTGCAAGTGCAGAGAGGCTCTGCAGGTCAGGCAGCAACAAGCAGGACAAACAAGACAGAGACGGAGCGAGTTGACGCACGGGTAGAGACGTATCTGTATGTGTGATTGGGAAAAGAGGATGAGGGGGAAGGTTGTGCTTCATTTATGTAGGAGGGGTGATATGAAGCAGGTCAACCAAATGCATGTTTGACCTGCATTTAGTCCTGTTTATGTGGAAATGCCTTCCTCAGAAAAACAGGAGATCTTCCAGAGGAGGAACTGTTCATGGCGGCAACATTAGCGTATTGTCGCCTTAATTCACTTTTTAATAAAATAAAGAAACCTGCAATAAAGAATATTTGTAAACTAAATATTTTTTTTTTCTTTTAGAAACGCACAAATTTTATTTCAGAGATAATGCTTCCATCATAAATCCAATTCACAGGTTCTAAATAAAGATTAATCAGTAAAAGCCAGATTTTAATCTTCCCTTATTTGTCATTGGGAAGTCTTTGCCCATTTCCAAGAGGTCACTTGGTAACTAAAACCTTTCTTTTTGTCATCAAATACATGCAATGATTTATATTTTTACAAGTTTTATTTTTCCTTCCTCTAATTTCTTTAGCTACTGCACACAAAGACTTCCAGCCTCAGTCCCTCTCCCAGACAATGTGATGATCCATCTATTTGTTAAGTGACATAATAAAGAGAGGCGTAATGCAATAACCAGACTGCTTACTGCTCCAACAGACCTATTGCCCCACTCTATTTATGTGAGACGCAGTAAAAAAAAACTGTACAAATTTAAAGAACACACACATTTAGTAAACGGTTGTGTCCCGCTTGCGATTAAAGCCTGCTGAAGTGTATTTCAGCAGGGATCCTGCACTCCGGCTAACCTCAATGTCTCCTCTTTCTGTGGTATTCAGCTCTGAAAACAGCTCGCTACCCAGAAACTACAAAAGCCTCATTCACTCAAACCAGCACACACAGGCGGAGGGAGAGAGGAAGAGAAGTAGAGACACACACACATCCACACAAAAAACACAAGAGTGGATTTAGGATTAATCTTTGAGGATGACTGTGGAAAAATGACGATGCAGAAGCCGGTAAATAACGTCCATGAAGTGGAGAGAGCAACTCTCAGGGTCGCCCGTCCATGTGTGTGAGCTCTGACCTGCACGGGGTTCTGCTTGACCTCGTTGCTGCCAGGGGAGTTGAGTCCAGAGGCCTGCTGGAGGAGGAACTGTCTGGCTGCCTGGAGTGCCTGCAGTAGATGAAAAAAAAAAAAAATCAGACGTTAATCATGTACCAAACAGCCACTTTAAGAAATATAGTTTGCGTAACAATAATGTAGTTTCATTCAATCTCTCTTCACAATTCTGCAGCAATAGAACCACAAACTTTAATCCAATTTAATGATATGTTGAGTAATAAACCAACGTACCACAAAGCACATCAAAAGGCTTTTATTTTATTTTATTTTCATGCTAATATAAAAACTGGACACTTTAATTTGAGGCAACAGATTAACAAAGATCCCTAGGATAGGGATTGAAGCCTTTCGTTGTGCTGGATGCCTCAAAGTTTCACAGATGAGCATTTCAACAGGCTTCAGACTGTAGATATGAATTAATCCTGTCTTCTAATTCTCTTTTTCTGTGTTTCTCTCTGTTTACTCCACCTTCCATAACCCCCGTCCCTCTTTCCTCTGAGGACGCCGCAAAGTGGCTTCTCCACATCCCTGGAGACAGAAGTGTGTCAGCCCGTCTTCATGCGTGCGCTGAACTGTGTTTGTGTGTTGTCACAGTGATGTAAGGAACTGCTCGGCCTGATGAGACCCGAAAGAGCTGTGTGACTAACCACTGCTCCGACTCCTCGTACCTCCTCCTCCTCCTCCTCCCCCTGCCTGCCCTGCAGTTCTGTCCATCTACACTACGGCTCCATTTCCATTCTTCCACCCTGCTCCTGGGTGTTGCCGATTCATCCGCACCAATACTGCAAACTAAGCCATTTCCCCTGCTTTCTAAGCACATCCTTTTCTTTTTCCTTGACACTTTCCTGATGGTCCTTGCAAAGGAATTAACTAAAAAGTAAAATTATGCATCATCAGTATTTTATTTTATTTTTTTAACATTTCTTGTGGGAATGTTTGACCAGCCCTTTGAAAACAAAATAAGAAAACACCCATCTAATAACACCAGGGCTGTTTTTGCACGTACAGTAAGCGCACACACACATGAACACGCAAACTCAGGACGGAGGGTTAGAGAGGGGAGACAGCAGGATGCACATTTGCTTCCTGTGACTCAAAAGGGAAAGGTTCCTTAGTAAATATTGATTTATGAAAGTCCCTGAGTGTGGGTGTGGGTCTGAGAAATTAACGGACAGGTTGAGAGACAGTCCATACCAAAGCAGAAGCTCTTACTTAACCACTAGTATCATTTCACAACTAGAAAAAACTGACTGTATCGTAGAAGTTATTGGAGAAATTGTCAAATTAGAAGCTTAGGTACATTAAGTAATGTTTAATAAGAGAAAAAGTGTGAGGGAGATTAGACATTTGGGGATGGGGGGCAAAAGAAAGAGAGAGAGAAGTTCTCTGTGCAGCCAGAGTGATGAAAACCATCTGCAGTGAGCACACTTGCTACTTTCGTCGAGACCTTAATTGAAACTCACACAGGCGGCACACACACACGCACATTAATTTTACCACTTTAACTAAAAACAAAACAAAACAAAAAAAAAAAAGCGGGAACAATGCCCCTCCCTTTTACTGGTTTGACCTCAGCATTAAATCAGGCACAAACTTACGCACACGTACACACAGACAAACACAACCGCCCAGTTTGTTGGCATGTGGTGTGAATTACTCCTCAAACACCCTGTCTGCCCGAGAGCCAGTCTCTCTCTGTGTGTGTGTGTCTGAGTGAGTGTATGTTGGCAGCAGTTGAGTAGGCCTGTCTGGCAACAATAAGGGACAATTCCACCCAAATTACCACCCTGATTACCACTATATTAAAGAGCCATTTATGGCTTTCATAAACACTACAACCAAAGCAGAGGTGATGCCTGTCTCCTCTCCTGTGCTTGTATCAATGGATGTGTTTATGTATATATATCCCAAAGGCAAGAATGGGTAAAAAAAAAAAAAAAAAATTAAATAAATAAAGAGGAGGAATGTGCTTCTACCTATTTCTTTAAAAGACGCCCATTGTGGTTTTCATAAAGTATGGTAAAGCTTAGCAACTAATTAGTCAAATTTCAGTGAGGAACGAGAAAGATTTTAAGGTTCTGTTTCACAAGATAAACAAAAGAGAGAAAGAATTGGCAGGATGAAGGTTCAATTATGGCTGAAAATCTAGACTTTTCCAACTATTAGCTAAACAGCTAACAATGCTAACTTTATTCACAGCAGTTAACTGTCAGTAAACCGTACCTGTGTCCTAATACCACCAGCATAAGACATAAAGTGGCTCAATTAAATTCTATATTCTATATCATTAACTTTATAGTCCAATAATTTGACATTTTTCAAATGTATACACCCATAACTGGTTACATACAAAGTTTTTATGATAAATTACGTCGTCCTGTTGCAGCATTTGTTACTTTTCTCGTAAGCTATGTTTTTGCTAAATTTGTCAGTAAATGTAGCATTTATGTGTATATCAACATCATATGACCGATTTAAATCACTGGTCATGCATACAATTGGTAAACAGGCAGAAGCAATTATGGTGAGCGAGTGTTGAACAATAATGGGCTGGTTATACTCCCCAGCAGTGTTCACTTGTAGCAGGTATGATGCAGATATTTTTGATTTATGCCCAATTTTGAAGCGTAGTCTGCGCTTTGTTATTCCACGCTACAACACAAGAGGGACAATCAGGAACTAGCTAGGATTGTGGGTGTCCATGTGTCGGTTTGACCAGCTTGTTCATCGTCTACAACCCCTCATCCAACGGCGGACGACACACAGTTCACCCATGAGTGTTCCCGAAAGTCTGTCCATGGCGCTGCGTGTTACAACTGGGATAGTGTCCAAGGGTGTCAGGCGTTGTGGCAGCACTACAGCCAGAGTTTATGCCATTAGGTACTAAACAGGAAATATACATAGTATAGAGTGGATGTAGAATATAGTGTTGCACTGATACCGATACCAGTATCGAGGCAGGGCCCTGTTGTAGAACTAAAATGGTGGTATCGGTATCGGCGAGTACCAACAAATAGGGCACTGATGCAATTTTGAGATCCAAAAGTTTATTCAACTATTGTCACCCATTCCAGGTAGGCAATAAAAAGTTCTACTGGATTCACTTTGTATTAGTCTTTTTCCTGCTTCACAAAGGTAGGCAGCAGCTTGACAAAGCCATGATGGCAATTATTTTACATCCAAGTAGTATGCAGTTCTTCAAATATATACACACACATCAAATTTCACAAAGATGGTATCGGTATCAGTCGATACTGCACAGCCAGGTATCGGGTATCAGTATCGGGGCCAAAAAATGGCATTGGCGCAACACTAGTAGAATTGACCAATCAACTGCCTCCTTTCTTTCCTACTTGCAACGTTATCTGCAGCACTGTCTGCGGTCACCTACAATTTCGGGGAGGTGGAGGGGTGCTCTCTCTGTGAAAGAAAAACTAAAACAAACAGAAATGTCTGTTATCAAGTGTAAAAAGTTGCAGGAAGAGAGGTTTGATTCCAAGAGAATATAAGTCAAGTTGAGCTGGGAAAACGACATGACAGTTGGAGCAAAGTAAAGCTAAAGCTCAGGGAGCGTTCTGATGTCGCTGTTAAGTTGATAGACGTGAGTACATGTCCTTGCTACTGGTTACTGGTGTTAGCAATGTTCTTTAAGCTGTTGGTTTTCATTATGGCACAATCTGAACTTATTTAGTAGCTACATCAGTGTCCAGCATTTGCCTTTCTGGTACTTCAGCAATTTATTTTCAGTCCGATCAACCATTTTATTGAGATTGCTAAGGTAACGGTACAATCAGAAACTTTTTGCTTTTCAATCTAAATACAATTCTAAAGCTCCATTATAAAAGGGCTTTTATGAATCCAGTAAGTTACATCTACCCCTAAATGATAGCAAGTTAAGTGGTAGTTTTGTGATTTAAGGATTTCTTTGTTCATCTGTCAAAAATCTGAACACCATGAAAAGTTTGAAAACCATTGGATAACGTTGTCATAATAAGATAAAAACAGAAGCAATAACAATAAGTCTCTGATTCCTATAAGCTTATCACTTATGGTCTGTATTTAAACATTTTATTGCAAGGTCAGATAGGAAGTAGCTTTTTGTTTGTCTCGATGTTGACAGAGTTTGATAACAAAGACGTCTCTTCTGTCTTAAAACACTCAATTACAGCATCAATTAAGCTCTTTTTACCTTTAAATTGTTCAGAAACATCAACGTAACTAGCTGAAAAAACAATATAAAGTAGAATTAGGGACACAAGTCAATTTTTTTTAAACACTGGACAGAAAACGCATCTGGCAAATGCATATCTTGTCAAAACTGCTCACCCAAGACCTCAACTGACACCTTTAGATTGCAAGTTGCATAAACGGCAACATTTGAAGAGAGGTCAAATCTGGAATAAATTAGTGAGCTGGTAGTTTTGAGGCTAAAACCACAAAGCGGGGGGGGATTGCAGTGTTTCTGCGGCAGAGCCCACACACATTACCTTGTTTAAGCTAGTTTATTCATATCGGTTTGCAACAAGTGTTTGATTCAATTGTTAATAGCTAAATAAGACCTGTTTTTTAAAAGTATAAAAGCATTAAAAAAAAGGTATAACGGTTTGATGTATACACCTATGATCTCATGAACATGCACGCACAAACACACACACACATACCACCAGCAAAGACATCCACTCATGTCTACTTTGTCAAGAAGCACTTCTCTTCTTTGACCTCTCTCCTTTATTTCTGCTCCTCGCATTCACTCCTTGGCTTTTCTCTGCAGAACATCCACCCACCCACACACAGCAACACACACCCACCCTCACACCAGCTCCTTAAAGACTCCCCCCCCCAAAACTCCCCTTTACCCTTGTGGCATTCTTGGGGGCGCACTGCACCTTTAAAGAAAATATGAGGGAGGCCTAAGAGGGAGGCCCAACAACAGAGTCTTTGTGCTGCCGCGGTGCGCACACACACATATGCACCCATCAGCGGTGTCAGACAGGTTTTATTAGAGCGAGTGAGAGGGAGGCAAGGGGGAGGAGGAGGAAGGGGAAGGAGGG